GGAGGAAGAGAGAAAGGGGTGGGCCTTACAAAGCCATTTATCTCATCATGTGGCCCTCAAATCAAGTTGAAACCTAATCAGGACTCTGCCCACCTGTCCCTATTGGCCTACTTGGCACAATAAGCCTATCACCCTTATTGATCCACTTGTGAGAATTTTACTTCCTTTATGCTAAAGTATAAGCTGTACTGAAGGTTCTAGGTTTTTATCTTCATCAATAAGTGCTTCGAGGATTTGTCATCTCCATATCACTAGTTCCTAGTTAGTCTTTCTCTGGTCCTGATTCATTCTTCTTCCAATAGTCCAGCTTCTCCAATTATTTGCTCAGATTGAATAGGTGTGGAGAAAGGATACAACCCTGACCCAGACCTTTTAAAATTTTCAATCATGTCGTATTCCTTTTTTCTAGTCATATGACCACTTCTTGGTCTGAGTATAGGATCAGCAGGAGCACAGTTAAATGTTCTGGAATGTCCATGCTTTGCGATGGTATCCATATGTTAGAAATCCACAAAGTCAAATGCCTTTGCTGCATAGTCACTAAAATGCAGGTAGAGATCCTTCTGGTATTCTTGGCTTTCTTTTCTGAATTCACATTGAATTTCTTGTAGTTCCCTGTCTATGTACGGCTACAGCCATTTAAAAAATTATTATTAGCAAAACTTTACTTGAGTGGGACACTCATGATATTGTTAGATAATTATATTGGACCATCTCTTTTTTCAGAATCAGCATAAATATGGGTCTCCTTCAGTCAGTTGGCCTGACAGTTCTCTTCCAAATTCCTTGGCATGGACGCATGAGTGCTTCTCATGTCAGGACACCTTAATTATTATTATTCTGTTAATTCCTGTAAGCTTTCCCCCACCGCCCCAAATCAATACCTTCCGTGTAACTTGGATTTCCGTATGTTGCTGAGAGGTGCTGTTGGGCCAGTTTGGATTCATAGTGATCCCATGCAGAGAAAATTCAACACTGCTCAGTGTGGAACCACTTCACAAATGTTGCAGTGTTGGTTGGAGCCCCTTGTTACAGCCACTGTGTCAATCCACCTGCTTCCCAGTCTTCCTCTTTCCCCTGAGCCTTCATTTTACCAACCGTGATGTCCTTGATAACCTGCCCTGATATATATTGGGATATCTATTACTACTGATAACTAGTAATAGATATTCCAATATATAATGATCCGCTAGACAGATCAAAAAGAAATAGAGTCCAGCTCCTTTCTCTTTTTAATTATAGTTTTAGTGACACACCTTACTCATTCCAATACATCCCTTCCCTTCCCATACAGTTTTGCTGTTCAGTTTCATCAGGCGGGGTTATGCAATCATCAATGCTATCAACTCCCTTCCCCACTCCCTCCAACGTGCCCATCATCACTTTCCATCCCCTCAAGGAACCATTACTCCTGTCATTGTCTCTGAGGGGTCATCTACCTTAACTAGCATGTACCAAGTGATCTTAAATATACAAATGAACATATGTAAATTTAATATGTTTAACGAGGTATATCACATAAAGACCTTAATAGTAAGAGGAGGCACTCTTTAAAAACTAGAGGATAATTATGTGGTTCATCAGTTCCATACCACACCCTGGATTTTTCTTCAGTTCCATGTGGCCCTTCTGAGAGGGACTGTCCAATTGTCTGGCTGGTGAACTTTAGCTCTCCACTACATTCACTACCCTTCATATCAATTTGGTTGCATGTTTTTTGAACTTCTGATGCCTATTCCCGTCGACACCTCATGATCACACAGGCTAGTGTGCTCCTTCCATGTGGGCTTTGTTGCTTCCCTACTAGATGGCTGCTTGTTTA